ACAGCTCTTTTACTTCCTTGGTTAAGTTTATTCCTAGATATCTTAATTTTTTTTTGCTGCAATGGTAAATGGGATTTTTTTTTTTTTTAGTTTTCTCTTAGTGTTCGTTATTGGTGTATAAGAATGCCATTGATTTCTGGATGTTAATTTTGTATCCTGCTATTTTGCCAACTTCATTTATTAAATCTAGTAGTTTTTGATGGAGTCTTTAGGGTTTTCTATGTATAATATCAAGTCATCTGTGAATAATGACAGTTTCACTTCCTCCTTTCCAGTCTGGACGCCTTTTATTTTCTCCTCTCATCTGATAGCTGTGGCTAAGACTTCCACTATTGTGTTGAATAAGAGTGATGAAAGTGAACATGCCTGTCTTTTTCCTGTTGTTAAGGGAAATGCTTTTAGTTTTTGCCTATTGAGTATGATATTGGCTGTATGTTGTTGTTTTTCTTTTTTTTAAAATATTTTTTCTTTATTGGTTTTAGAGGGAGAGGAAAGGAGAGGGGGAGAAAGATAGAAACATCAATGAGAGAGAACATCAGTTGGCTGCCTCCTGCATGCCCCCACAGGGGATGGGCCTACAACCTGGGCATATGCTGTGAACAGGAATCGAACCAGCAACCTCTTGGTGCATGGGTTGATGCTCAACCACTGAGCCACATCAACCAGGTGGCTGTATGTATTTCATATATGCCCTTTATTATGTTGAAATATGATCCCTGTATTCCCGCTTTGCTGAGTGTTTTGTTTTTTTTTTTTATCCTCACCCAAGGACATTTTTCTGTTTTTTGTTTTTTTTTTTTCCATGTAGAGTGGGATGGAGAGAGAAAGGAAGAGAGAGAGAGAAACATCAACACAAAAGGGACACATCGAGTAGCTGTCACTCGCATGACCAACCAGGGCCGGGGACAAACTGCAACCGAGGTACATGCCCTTAGCGGAAACCGAACCCGGGACTCTCTGGACCACAGGCCGATGCTCTAACCACTGAGCCAAACCGGCCAGGGCTGCTGAGTGTTTTTATCAGAAATAGGTGCTGGATTTTGTCAAATGCTTTTTCAGCATCTATTGATAGGAATATATATATATATCCTTACCCAAGGTCATTTTTGCACCCATCTTCACATAGAGCAGGAAGGAGAGAGGGAGGAAGAGAGAGAGATAAAGACAGAAACATCCACATGAGAGAGACACGGATATGATCATACTTTTATCTTTCATTTTGTTTACGTGGTGTATCACATTTATTGATTTGTAAATATTGTACCAGCCTTGCATCTCTGGGATAAATCCTGCTTGGTTGTGGTGAATAATTTTGTTAATATATTGCTGGATCTGGTTTGGTAATATTTTGTTGAGGATTTTGGCGTCTATGTTCCTCAGGGAATTGGCCTATAATTTTCTTCTTTATCTGGTTTTGGAATTAGGATTATACTGGCCTCATAAAAAGAGCTTGGAAATTTTCCTTCCTCTTGTATTTTTTGGAATAATGTGAGGAGAATAGGTGTTAGTTCTTTGAGTGTTCCCTAAAAATATTCCATAAAGCCATCCGGACCCAAGCATTTGTTTACTGGGAGTTTGATTACTGCTTCAATTTCCTTAGTTGTTATTGATCTGTTCAGGTTTTCTGACTCTTCCCAGTTGAGTTTTGTTTTTGTTTTGTTTTTGTTTGTTTGTTTGTTTTTAATTTTATTTTTGTTACAGATGTTTCTCTTTTTTTTACCCCATTGGCACCCTCCTCCCCATACCCCCCGCCCTGTCCCCGGCTTTGTTGTCCATGTCCATTGGTTATGCGTACATGCATATAAGTTCTGTGGTTTATCTCTTCCCACCCCCACCACCCCCTCTTCTGAGGGTTATCAGTGTGTACCCTACTTCCACGTCTTTGGATCTACCATATTCCTCAGACTGTTACATTCATTATATTCTGTATATAAGTGAGATCATGTGGTATTTGTCTTTTTCTGCTTGGCTTGTTTCACTTAGGATAATACTTTCTAGGTCCCTCCATGTCGCCTCAAAGGATAAGAGATCTTTCTTTCTTACAGCTGCATAGTACTCCATTCAGGACCGCAGGCCGATGCTCTAACCGCTGAGCCAAACTGGCCAGGGCTGTACCACTGCTTTTTTATCCATTCGTCTGCTGATGGACACTTGGGCTGTTTCCAGATCTTAGCTATTGTAAATAGTGCTGCTACGAACATGGGGGTATATATATTCTTTCTGATTGGTGTTTCAGGCTTCTTAGGGTATATTCCTAGAAGTGGGATCACTGGGTCAAATGGCAATTCAATTTTTAATTTTTTGAGGTAACACCATAGTGTTTTCCATAGTGGCTGCACCAGTCTGCATTCCCACCAGCAGTGCACTAGAGTCCCCTTTTCTCCACACCCTCGCCAACACTTGTTTGATGATTTGTTGATGGCGGCCATTCTCACAGGTGTGAGGTGATACCTCATAATTGTTTTAATTTGCATCTTTCTGATGATTAGTGATGTTGAGCATTTCTTCATATGTCTCTTGGCCATTTGTATGTCCTGTTTGGAGAGGTGTCTATTCAGCTCCTCTGCCCATTTTTTAATTGGGTTCTTTGCCTTCCTTTTGTTGAGTTGTATGAGTACTCTATATATTTTGTAAATTAACCCCTTATCTGATGTATGATTGGCAATGATACTGTCCCATACAGTGGGTTGCCTTTCCATTTTGATGGTTGTTTCTTTTGCTGTGCAGAAGCTTTTAAGTTTGATGTAGTCCCATCCCTGTGTGAGCTCTCAAGATTATTTAGAGATCATGCCCTGGCCTCCTCACATAGTTTCTGTCACACAGGTACAGACCTGTCCTCAGCTGAAGACAAGGGATCCTCTGCAGATCCTGGAGCTCTGCTGTCTGTGCAGCCCTATCCCCCAAAACTCTGACCCATATAGTCTAGCTGCCTAGGCCTCCCTGATCTCCTAACTCTGTCTCTTTCCAGGAGTTGGCTGGGTCTCTCTGAGTTTCCCCTTCTTGCACCCTAGCCTGGAAACCACCTCAGCTGATACAGTCTCAGGGCTCAGTCTCTCGGTATCCCTTCTTGGTGAATCACTGTTCTGCACTAGTGTCCAGGGACTAAAAACCACCACACCACTTATTGTCCAGTTTTCTCATTGTCCATGGGCTCCTTTTTCTCTAAAATGAGTTCATGAACAAATGACCAAAAAAACAGAACAGTCTGTCAGGAGTTTGATGATGTTTCAGAACAGGTATTGCCTTCTGGCTAAGATGACTGACATTATGAACACTCCCTTTTTTGTTTTATTAACCAGTCACCGTATGAATGGGACAGCAAGATGGCAAAAGCTTTGGTGGCAGCTTGGTGTTGGACCCCACAGCAAGCTCATGTTTTACCAGCTTCGATGGCTATCATCAGTGGGCGGAGGCACCTGTGAGGAGCCCAAATGAGGAAAGGAGCAGTCACCCATGAACTGGCACAGGCAGAACCCCCCACCCCTGCCTCCATGGCCCACCATGACTCCAGCAGTCTTTGGATGATGGGGAGCTGGACCAACAAGGCCCCCTATCTCTAGCCATTCTGGCCTTGGCCAGAGGACCAGGTTGGAAGGCACTGTGCTGGACTCATCCCTGGCCTCCTGTGGTCATTGCTGCTTCTGTCTGAGGCTCTGTCCACAGCTGCAGCTGCGTTGAAGCGGCTGGTAGTGGCCAGTGCTGCCCTGCTATACCTGCACACCTGGGGAGGGGCACTGATCCCTGACTGGCAGCTGTGCTTCCATGTGGGCTTCCTGGAATCTGGAAAGTCAGTCTTACAAGGTGAGTAGAGTGTTGAGGTGGGGTGAGAACCAATACTGCTCCCCAGAGCCTACAATTCCCAAGGAGGCCAAAGTCTGTAACTGCCTTTCCTGGTCTCCTCCTGGGGGCATTTTCTTGTTTCCACAGCTGCGACGCCCCCTCCCTGGGGCAGTGCCCAGACCTCTGAGTAGAGGTTGGAAGCAGGGCCCTGTGTCTGCCCACCAAGGGCCCAGCATAGGCAGACACTGTGGGGAGCCCCCTCAGCTGGGGCAGGACAAGGACAACATCCTTTGCTGATGGCAGGCCTGACAAGGCGACTGTTCTTGAGGGCGGTTAAGGGGAAGGCTGAGGCACTGGGAGATGGTTCAGTAGGAGCCTTTCCCTTCACATACCCGAGCCTCCCACAGACTCTCACTACACATGTCCCTTCTCCCAAGAGAAGAATTTAGCTATAGGAATATTACAGCTCATGGCTTCCCATGGTGGTTCAGGGAGAAGCATTCAGGAGAGCTTGAGTATTGTAATGCCCTCCCCACTGCTAGGTCACATCACCTCTGTCCTGCAGAGGTACAAGGATACTCAGAGCATGGAAAGTGAGCAGACAGTGGGGAATAGTGCACATGGTGACCAAGGGATGTGGGGAATACAGTGGGACCAGCCCTCCCCAGCTGATTCATCCAGAAAGGAGTGGGCAGAGTTGGAAAAATGCCCACTTTTGGGACTCAGGCACAAGGCTCTGTGGTGAGAGCTGTGGTGGCTACTGTGTTGTGGGGTGGCACTGTATCAGTTCCTAGAGCCGTTTGCCCATATGAAGGTTCTGCTGTGCTTGGGCATGAGCACTCCCTTTCTTTCCATAGTGATAAGCCCATGCCACTCCACTCTGGGGTCCCCTGGGACCTCCATGACAGAGCAGAGTGTCTGAGCTCTGCTTTCTGGGCAGGCCTTACTTGAATATAGCTTTGAAGGCTCCTTAGTCCATGGAGAGCCTTCCTCCCCTCCTGTTAGGAACTGTAACTTTGGTGCTCCCTTATCTCCCTTGGTTACATGCCTCTATCCCACCAGGATTTGGGACATGGAGGGAGAAGAGACTGGCCCAGTGACAGAAGCCTGTCCCTTCACTCATTCATCAGAGAGGACCAAGTCAACTCCCCTTGTGTGAGATGCTCACACTTAAATGGGACAACCAATGTAGCTGAACAAGGTGCAGTTCTCAGAGACCAGCACTATCCGTCTGAAACCATCATTGCCCATTTGGCCAAGGGGGCAGAGTCCCAAAAAAGGATGTAGCCCTGGTGCTGGCAGTCCACAGGGCTCACATCTTCTCCAGGAGTGAGGTAATAGACCTGAGCTGAGGACAGATGCTCTTGTTCTCTAAGGAGTTGTAGGATGAGCTTCTGACATGTAGAATTTTCATGTTTTAGCACTGTGCCATCTTCACTTTTAGGACTGGACTGATGAGGACAAATGTTCAGATGAGCATACAGAGGCCTTCAGTCCTGGAGGCTGTTGGTCGGGCAGAGGGGAATGGTCTGTGTCCCTTCTGGCTTTCTCATTGGCTGCCCACCTCTGCATGGGACATTTGTAGCTCAGAGATGTCCATATGGCCTAGGCTAGTTGGACATCAACCCACGTCCTTTCCAACTCTCCATTTTACTTACTCATTCCAGGTAATGAAAACAAACTGCTTCTGACCATGGAGTAGCTTGCAGTAGACCACTGCCTGCTGAAGACTCAAAGAACTGGCCATAATTCAGAAGGCATTAGCTTGAAGGTCTGAAGAGTCACTCCAGCAGCCATGATTCAGAGGGGAGCTCAAGGAGGTAAGCCTTACTGCCTGCACTAGCTTTTCCCCTCAGGGCTGGGCACAGATGGCTGCTAAGAGACAGAGAAGCTAGAGGGTCTCCACACAATTTTGCAGGGCTGGGAAGACTAAGCTGGGGGTTTGGGCCTGCTGAGGAATCAGAACCTGAGGACTAAGATTCCTGCAAAGAAGGGGACCAAAAAAGTGAAGTTGACAGCAGTTTCTCTCGAGGCATTTGCCGATGACATTGCTTAGGCAAGAGAAGCAGAAAGTGGCTAAAAAGCACAACAGGATTTTTGGCAGTTTCATGGTGCAAGGACTGTCAAGGAGGAATGACCCTAAGAAATATGCCAGACTCTCAGCTGGGATCTTGGGGGTGGCACTCTGGAAGTAGAGGCAAGCCACAGGTAGATTGGACTTCATAAGGACTGCAGATGAGCTCAGTTTCAGCTGAGCCACCAACTGGCCTGTGGTGGCCTGCCCCCCTCTGCTGCCCACCCTGGAGGGAGACATCATCCTGACTCTCCACCATTCTGTCATACATAATGCCTGACAGTCAAGTTACTAGGCGTACTGAGAAACAGGACTGACTGGGGGTGGGAAGAGGTGATACACCCACTAGAGATTAAGGTATTGGAACTGTCAGACATGGACTTCAAAATAACCGATTAGCACAATAAAGTAAATATGATGAAGAGTTTCACAGAGAATTGGATTTTATAAAAAATTAACAAAAGGCCCTGGCCGGTTTGGCTCAGCGGTTAGAGCGTTGGCCTGCGGTCCTGAGAGACCCAGGTTCGGTTCCCGCTAAGGGCGCGTACCTCGGTTGCAGTTTGTCCCCGGCCCTGGTCGGTCGTGCAGGTGGCAGCCACTCGATGTGTTCCTTTCACATCGATGTTTCTCTCTCTCTCTCTGTTCCTCTCTCTCCCTCCCACTCTACCTGAACAAACAAACAAAAAAAAAATTAACAAAAGTATGATAACACTGTGTTGAGCTCAAAGCTGAGCAAGCTCCAGAGGAGTAAGGAATAAGGAGGAATTCCAGTGTTTGCTGCAGTAAGCACATCAGCCTAGCCAGATGGCAATGCAAGTGGCCAAGAGGGTGAACATTTGACTTTTATTTGAAGTAAATCAGATTTTGTATATAAGAAATTTGTCTTACAAAAATCACAGCTGAAGAAATGTATGATATATTTGGGATTTTGGTGTAAACTTTGGTTGAGAGTTTGTATAGGATTCTGGTTTAAAATATGGACATAAAAGGAAAAAAGAGGTTTGACCTCACCTCCAAAAAGGGGACTACTGTAATCATGAAATGAGTGAAACATAGCTGTTATTTAATTGTAGATTCTTTTGAAAACACCTTTTGCATACAAAATTGAAATCAGTTTATAGATCAAAAAAATAAATAAAACTGGCCTGGCCAGTTTGGCTCAGCGGTTAGAGCGTCGGCCTGCGGTCCAGAGAAACCTGGGTTCGGTTCCCGCTAAGGGCATGTACCTCCGTTGCAGTTTGTCCCCGGCCATGGTTGGGTCGTGTGGGTGGCAGCCACTCAATGTATCCCTTTCACATCGATGTTTCTTTCTCTCTCTCTCCTCTCTCCCTCCCACTCTATCTGAACAAAAAATGAAAAAATGTCCTCGAGTGAGGATTAAATAAATAAATAAGTAAATAAAAAAAAAAAACTCAGTAGGTGGATTTAACAGCACTTAGAGTCAACTGAAGTGGGGATTAGTGAACTAAAAGACAGATAAATAGTAAACATTCCTGCAGACTCTACGACCAGCTGGCACTATCAAGTGAGCTTCCTTGTCCTGGCCCTTCAGGGTCCTGCTCACCCCTTCTGTAGAATCTCAGCCTTGGGTGGAGAGGGGATGCTGGTGAAAAGGCTTTTTGTACTTGGGTGAGACAGAAGAGGTTGGAAATTTGGGGAAAATTTTCCAGCCTTGTTGGAAACATTACTAGCACATTGGGAGTCCAGTCAGTAGAGTTCTGTGATGAATGAAATCTTTAAAGGAGGGCCTTGAGTTTATTATCAGGCACACGAGAGTGTTTGTACTCATGAGCTAAAGCTAATGATGTGCTGCTAACTTCAAAATATACTTTAGAGCCCTGGCCGGTTTTGCTTAGCAGTTACAGCGTCAGCCTGCGGTCCAGAGAGACTCAGGTTCAGTTCCCAGTAGGGGCATGTACCTCGATTGTAGTTTGTCCCCGGCCCTGGTTGGGTCGTACGGGAGGCAGCCACTCGATGTGTCACTTTCACGTCGATGGTTCTCTCTCTCTCTCTCTCTCTCTCTCTCTCTCTCTTTCTCCCTCTCCCTCTCCCTTCCTCTCTCTCCCTCCCACTCTATCTGAACAAAAAATGGAAAAATGTCCTTGGGTGAGGATAAAAAAAATAAAAATATATATATAAATAAATAAAAATATACCTTAGAAAATGCCTTTGTGCCCACCTGGTGTGGCTCAGTGGCTGAGTGTCGACCCATGCACCAAGAGGTCGCCGGTTTGATTCCCGGTCAGGGCACATGCCCAGGTTGTGGGCTATATCCCCAGTGGGGGAATGCAGGAGGCAACCAATCAATGTTCTGTCTCATTGGTGTTTCTCTCTCTCTCTCTCCCTCTCCCTTCTTCTCTCTCTCAAATCAATAAAGAAAAATAATCTTTTTAAAAAAAAGAAAATGCCTTTGCTTTGCCTGAATGTAGAGTGCAGAAAAGTAGCATTGAGGGGCAGGGTGATTGGGGAATGAATAGAAGCTTGTCTGTGATTTACAAAGGGGGCGCATACATTGTTGCTCAGGCCTCATGCACTGTGGAACTCAAGTGCCACCTGTTCCACTGACGTGCTGGGCACAGGCATGGCGAGGGGTGAGGAAGCAGGGACTGCTGAAGCCGTGACTGTGAAGCCGTTTTGGATTGTAGCAGTTCAGACGTCTGCTCTGAGAAATTTTCCATCCTGGGTTAATGGTTTCTTTATAATGAACAGAAATAAATTCATGAGGGCTAGTAATTTGTGGCTGGACCAAGGCCAGTGTGCTGAGTTGAGAGATGACTGCTGACCCAAACAGGTTGATTGACATGCATTAAAGCAATGTCAGAGCAAAGACATCAACTTGATCTGTAGTAAAGGATAGAAGCTCCTTTGCCCTCTGTTCTCTGTGGGGTTAGCAAACTCCTGAGGGGAAAGGAGAAATAATGGGTGGAGCCTGGCTGATAGGAGGCATGTGTGGGGCCATAATAGCCATCAGTTCCAGGGAGCTTCTGGTCAGCTCAAGCCAGGTGCCCAGGGGCCACGTGGATGCCCTGCAGTGTGCCTCGTGCTTCAGGACAGGAGGCTGTGCTGTGTTCCTTCAGGATGGTCCAAGGACATTCTTCAGTAGGAAGGGACATTCTCTCTATGTAGCCAGGAGGGCTGCCCAGGAAGGCGGGAAGGAGGAAGTAAGCGCGCGCATGATCCTGCTGCATTCAGCTTTTGTCTGTGGAGCACCTCCTCTGTTTCAGGCACTCTTTTAGGTATGGGGCAGTTTCATGGACAAGATGGACAAGGTCTCTTCTCCCATGGGGCTTGTGTTCTGTCTAGTCCAGAGGCAGGCCTTAAATGAGTATAAACAAGTAAGAGCAAACATATTAAGATAAATAAAAGTGATAAGGGTCATGAAAAAAATGACACTGGGACCATGTAGATGTGGAGAGAACAACCTCCCTGAAGAAGTGACATTTGAGCTGAAATGGGAATGACAAGGTCTCCCTGGCCCTCCAGGCAGAGTGGATGCCCTGCACTAGAATTGCTCAGGTCTTAGTAGGCACCAGCTTTCATCTTAAGGACAGTGAGAAACCAATGACAGATTTTAAGCAGGGGAATAACATGATCTGATTTCATGTTCACAAGATGTGTTGGGTGATCACTGGGAGGCTTTGCATATATTCAGGGAAGAACCAATTGGTGGCTGCAGAACCCGGAGGAGTACAGACTCGGTGTGCATTTGGGACAGGGACCCAGAATAGTATTGGGTATCTGAGCATCTGGATGGAGGCTGGGCCATAGTGGGGGTGCAACTAGGAACTCAGTCTGAAGTTTGATTCTGCTGTACAAGTTTACGAAGCCTATTGAAGTTGAGTGGAGATGTCCTGCCTCACCTCAAAGGAGAGTCGGGAGTATTTCCTGAGCAGATGGAAAACCACTGACCCTTAGAACTTGACAGCTGATCATTGTCTGTCAACCCACAATTTCTGCCAATTTGAAATCCTTTCTTATCACAGCCATTTTGCCACGAATTCCTGTCCTAAGGCTGCAGCTCTCCCCACCCCACCATCCCTTCTGCTTTGGCCTCCCTTGTCCCTCACCCCAAGCCAACTGGCTGGCCTTTCCTAAAGCCTAGCCCTGCTCCTCACAGTGAGATGTGCAAAACGGGGCATTTAAAGCATTTTGAGTGACTTCATTTTTTTTTCTTCATTGATTTTTAGAGAGAGAGGAAGGGAGATGGAGAAATAGAAACATCAATGAGAGAGAACATTGATTGGCCGCCTCCTACATGCCCCCACTGGGGATTGGGCCCACAACCTGGGCATGTGCCCTGACTGGGAATAGAACCAGCAACCTCTTGGTCAACACTCAACCACTGAGCCATACCAGCCAGGCTGACTTTATTTTTTAATATTAACTTTTTACCTCATTTTTGAATGATGCATTGTATTCAGTTGCATGATTTGTAAAATGTTTTATTTATAAAAAATTTTTAATTAAAATTTTCAAAATACTCAAAAATAGAGACTAGTATAATGAACCTTCATGTACTCACTACCCAACTTCAGGGCCAACATTTTGAAGCAAATCCCAGGCATTGTATCATTTAATTCTTAAATATTTCAGTGTGACATTGAAATCAAAGGGTCATTGAAAGTGTAACCATAATGACATTACCAAAATCTAAAAATCTAATAATTTCATTATTTACCAGATCAGTGTTTGAATTTCCCTGAGTGCATCTTAAATGATTTGTTAAGCAACAATTTTGTTTTGTTT